GTGTGCAGTCCATCACAGAGACATCTAGACAGGTGTCCAGTCCATCATATGGACACTTGGACAGGTCTCCAGTCCATCACAGGGACATCTAGACAGGTGTCCAGTCCTTCACAGAGACATCTAGACAAGTGTCCAGTCCATCACAGAGACATCTAGACAGGTGTCCAGTCCATCACAGGGACATCTAGACAGGTGTCCAGTCTATCACAGAGACATCTAGACAGGTGTCCAGTCCATCACAAGGACATAAAGACACAAACAACCATTCACTCTCTCACTCAACCTATAGACAATTTAGTTTCCAGTCAGCCTAACATGCATGTTTTTGTTCTGTGGGAGGACTCTAAAATGTAAATGGTTTCAGAGGGACACCCTATAATTACTTTCTGAGAGTTTCATTTGCATTTTTTTGGTGCTTCATTCAATATTTTGCTAACATGCCCCGTCTTTGCTCCGTGACAGGGAACAACAAACACAATGAACACACACCTGCGCAAAAACATCATCCCTCCTTTGCCTTCTGTTGCAGGTGATAAATATGTTATTGCAGGCAAATAAAAGAAAACTTGCTTTTGTGCTGAGATTTGAACCAACAGCATGAACAAAAGAACACGAATGATACACAACATATAACGACTACGCATTACAGTCTGAACATCTAGTGCTGTGTGCAGAAACAGAGGCTCGTATTCGTCACGGCGGGCCTGAAAATGCAGAGCGACAGGAAAAGTACGCAGAATTTTAAACTTTAAAAAAAAAAATTGGATGAGGATTTGATAACGTCACGTCAAACAATAGTTCAGCCGAGCATTTTATGAGAAGTTCGGAGGCAGGATAAAAGCGCAGATGAAAGAGGAGTGAATATCGATTGTGGGAAATGCATCACACAAGGCAACAAGAACATCAGCGTGTGGCTGATCAGGCACATAGCAACCAAGAAAGGAGAGTAAATTAGCTTCTTGTGCAAGGGCCCATAAAGCAGCAGTTGTGACGGGGGAGGGGACAGCGATCAACTCTTTTGGAGGCATTTTTCATCAATCTGAAGCCGTGCTCGTGGCAAAAAGAAGCCGATCTGTTCATTAACGAAAGCAGTTACCGTTAAACAATGTGATGTGCACATGGAGTGATGTTATAAACGCAAACCCCACAATCCTCATGGAGTTGGACAATCTAGCAAGAAGAGGAAGAAAAAAACATGCAGTTGAAATACCTTCGTCCCTCGGCCGATTCGAAGTCGACTCATCGTGCTTTTTAGTGAGCGGACCTGAGGTTTGAAACAGAAACAGAAAAAAGCAGAAATTCAGACCATATTATAGAAAAACAGTTTTATCGATGAAAGCTGTGGACGTTGTGCTCCGATTCAATTTAGTGACCCTGTTCACGATTTTTAATACGTGTTCCCAAACCCATCACTAAACCAAAGGCTCGGCCTTTTACGCAGGAGTGCATATCACCTGCCACTTTTGATGTCAGGGAGTTAAACTTAGAATATTATACGATGAATGCCTTGGTCAAACCTTTTAAAACATTTTATGCAGACTCATCTAATATTGCGAGATCTTGTGAGACGTGTTGATATTTATGGTCTGCTTTGTTGAAAATTCAAAGCTACCATAATTTCCTGTCTATAAACAGCTACTTTTTCCACACGCTTTCAACACCGCGGCTTATACAATGCTGCGACTAATTTACAGTTGGTTTTTTTTTGACCGGCTAATGTGCTTCCTGTTGCCGAAAACACTTAGCTTCATCACACCCGGGCACTCACATAGCTGCCCAAAGTACGTCTCTCTTGTGGGGTGGGTCTTCATGACTCAATGAGACTATCTGAATAAATAAAGGTTAAAATAAAATCTGACCAATGAAATTACAGAACATGTCACAGTCGAACCAATGAAACGAGGAGGGGGAATCCCCCACGTATTGTTTTTTTTAACCTGCCGTGTTAAAGGCACTGTTCAGAAAAAAAAAAAATACTGTACGTATTTGTGCATGTTACAGGTACATATTTAATTAAAAGTTTTAAAAAATCTTTCTGTGTAAATATCTCATGTTACAACGTGAACACTTGCGGCTTACATAGGCTATGTACAGTTTTTTTCTTTATAATTATTATTTTTTCTTTATTTAATGTACGCAGCTTATTCAGGTGCGCTCTATAGTCCGGACATTACGGTGTTACCCTACACCACATTTAAGACCGATATATGTCAAATTCATTTCGGTGTAGCCATTTCTGTGTGTGGTAATTTTGATTATGTGTGTCCACCGTCTTAATGGATTAACTCCTAAATGTAATATTTATAGGTGAACATCCATCCATTGACAACTTTCAAAGAATTCTGTTAAACTCCAAAGAGTGGGTCATGAGATATTTTGCTAACAGACGAGCAATGTTTATGCCAAGGCTTTAAGCAGTGTGTAGCGTTCACAGTATTTGTTGTGAATAGGTCTCAACCACTACTACACAACTTTAACTCCATATCTTAAATATAGCTATTTTTGTGTTTTCTAGGATCAGTGGGCCGTGACAGCCATTTTGAATTTAACTGACTGTAAAAAAAGTAATTAGTTGTGGATATGTGGTAAGGGATTTCTGTTTGAAATTTCATTTAAATTGCTCTGATGTTTCTGCTGGCTCAAAGTTTATAAAAGGCAGCTGTGCATTTAGTCAGGTGTTGGCAATCAGTCGCAGCTACTTGTTGGTTTTCTTTCGGCTGCTCTCTTCTTCAAGGCTCGCCACATCAAGCAAACTCACATAAAAGGTTTAGTGATTGTTTTATGCCACATGCTCATTCTTCCACAGCATGAACTTGAACCTGCAACCTCAGAAGATTACATCACCCCCAAGCTACTGCAGCCCCAGTCTCAGTTTCAGCTACTATCATAATTGGCTGAGTTTGAGCTGTTTTAGTGTGTACTAAGGTTGATAAGCAAATTATTCACTACATCCTGCCTGGACTCTCTTTTTCACCTCTTTACCACACTCCTCATTTTCCTGGACAGTGGACCCCAAGTACTTGAAGTCAAAAATGTGCAGGACTTCAAGCACTTGGGGTCAACTGTCCAGGAAAATGGGGAGTGTGGTAAAGAGGTGGAGATTCCCTAGGGGAACAGTTTTGTCCTTCCACCCTTGGTGTTGGGTGATATTAGTGCCTGAGGACACTTTTTCCCTAAGTACAAAAGCTTTTATTCTTGTTGAGAAAATAAATAAATAAAAAATATTAATATGTACTATATATAAATATATATATAAATATATAAATAAATAAATACCATATTTTTCAGGCTATAAGGCACACTTAAAATTCTTTAACTTTCTCAAAAATCAACAGTGCGCCTTATGTATTAATTCTGGTTGTGCTTACTGACCTGGAACTGATTTTATGTGGTTATTGTGAATGAGTTGAATAAAGTTTGACTTATGTGACTGTTTTGTTTCGTTTAATGCACCTTATGTATGAAAACAGACCTGTTCATTAGTATTGTTCCTTATAATCCGGTGCACCTTATTGTCCAAAAAGTACGGTAAATGCTAAACATACCCAGAGCTCAAACCTACAACCAGAGTTGTGAGCTTTTCTGAGCAGCTTGCTGAGGACTGGACTGTTTTTGATCCCAACACATTCCTGCAAAGTCTTGGGACAAGATTCTCCTCTTCAAGGTCAGAGAGGAGCCCCACATTAAGGTTTAATGGTAACACCAGCTCAGGCATTCTGTAAGGCAGAGCCAATAACAAGCATTTATTGCAGTGACCATCCAACGCCCTGTCGTGTCAACCTCTGTTAGCCCTCACTGATAAGGATCCCATTCATTTGCCTTTTTTTTTTTTCTTTTTCTGCTATTAGTAGATCTTCCATCAATGAACAGCCAGATTCTGTGTGACACTTAGCTCTTGTCCACTTCAAGGACTCATTAGAAACATTCATGTCCTCGCAGCCTCGCGCAACCCAAACATCCACATTTAGTTTCTTCATCATGATGTCATCCGCAGCTGGCAGCACCTGCCCTTCTCTACAGAGAGGAGGCTTTATA